TAGTCCAGTCGTGTGTGTGTGTGTGTGTGTGTGTGTGTGTGTGTGTGTGTGTGTGTGTTTTCCCTGTCAAACCAACCTCCCTTGCCAGCCTCCTTGCTGGTTCTGTCTCTTTGGTGAAACTTTACAAGGTCTGTCTGTCAAGTCCTCCTCTGCCTTCCTCTCTGTTCTAGCCTTGAAATTTTCCCTTCAGATGTTTTTGCTTAATTACACGGCTTTCAATGATACTTCTAGGCCTTCCACCCTGATCTCTCCATTAGATTCTAAACTCCCTGTCATACAGCCTAAGCCAGTGGCATCCTTGTATTTCTAACAGAAACCCCAAGATTAATTTGGACAAAATAGAACTCTTAGTTTTTACCTGTAAATCTGTTCTTTGTTTTCTTTCCCTTGTTTTTTGGAAAATGGCACAATTTACTAATCCAGCAATTTAGAAACAGTCATTTCTCTCCTGTCCACAAGTTCATCGAGTCCTCCTCTAAAATCCTCCACTTTGCGCTCACATCGCCCAGGCCCCTTCTGGCTAAGCCCCCCAGGACCTGCTTCAGGAGGACAGTAATCCCCTGTTCTCCCTGGCCTTTCTCTCCTTCCCTTTCCACTCTTCACAGAAAAGCTGCCAGCCATTTCAAAGAATGTGAATTAGTCGTCATCTCTCCCAGTCTTTCTCATCACTGCAGGGAGATACCCAGTGGAAGCAGCAGTGTGGAACAGAGGTTTTTTTGGGGCGGCTCACACCTGGAGACTACTGTCCATTCCTGGGGGACAAGCATCATGGCAGGAAAGGAGACAGCTGCACACGCTGCATCTGCAGTCAGGATGCAGAGAGAGACAAGCGCTGGCGTTGTATTCACTTCCATCTTTCCATTCAGTATGGAACCCCAGACCCATTCCTGTGCATTCTCTTTGGAAAATCTTTCACAGACACACCCAGAGTTGTGTTTTCATGGTGATTCCAAATCTAGCCAAGCTGCCTGGAAGACTGACCACTTAGACGCTCTGTAAATCACTCTGCTGACTTCTGGTGCACCTAGAGATGAAGCTCGACCCTGTCATCTGTACATTTCTACACGACCTGGTCTCTACATGGCCGTTGACTTCTAATTCCGGGCGTGCCATTGCCCACCAACATCCTCTGCTTCTTTCTGTTCTTTAAGGGAACTAAGCTAGCTCTACCTTTAACTCTTTTTTTTTTAAATTAAAACAAAAATTTTCATATAGTGTATTTTGATCATATTCTTTATCCTTCCCCAATTCCTTCCAGTTTCTCCCCCACATACCTATCCACTCAACTTAATGTTCTCTCTCCCTCTTTCTTAACCTCTACAACACACACAAGAAAGAAAATCAAAACACACACACACACACAGAGAGAGAGAGAGAGAGAGAGAGAGAGAGAGAGAGAGAGAGAGAGAGAGAGAGAGAGAGAGAGACCCAATAAGACAAACAACCTCAAACAAAAAGTATACTAAAAAAAACCCGGAGTCCGTTTGTTTTTTTTGTTTTTGTTTTTGTTTTTGTTGGCATGGGGCCTGCCCTGGAATATGGAGGAATCTGATTTTTCCCTTTTCCAGAAGGTATCAGTTGCAAACAGCTTCTTCATTAGAGGTGGATGTTGTGTTCACCTTCTCTCCTCTGTGCTGGACATCACCCAGCCTTATGTCATTTACTTGTTGAATTGTTTACACAGTCTTTAAATTGGTCTTTTTCCATGATAGTATAGTATTCACAGGCCTAATCTGTCTTAGTTACACACTTTAATCCAAGAAAAATGGGAGGAGCCATCAAATACACTGTCATTTGCATTTCCCAAACAATTCTCGTAATTTGGAAATTTATACATTGCAATGAAATTTGAACTGTGACTAGAAAAGTAAGCCATAAGATAAGACAGATAAAGGTACATAAAAACTAAAGCAATCTTCTGATCATGGTAACAAGGCTCCTGTTCAAATGTCTGCTTTGTTAGCATGATCAGAAGTCTAGCATTAGAGAACAAAGCTGGAACGCGGCAGTCAGACGAGAGGAGGTGAAGAGAAGATGGAATGTGTAAGATTTAGTCATAAGTATTGATTGCCTTTGCTGACATTTTTAGCAGGAGAGATATGTGGGGATAAGAGGAGAATAGTCATGGGGGGCAGAGGTGCATCTAGTTTTAAGACAGGAAGGATGCAGAAAAAAGAGGGTGGAGTGTCAATGCCCTTTTTATATCACGTTTAATCTTAAGTTGACTATCCAGCAATGAGACAGAAGAAATCAAAATCAAGGCTGAATATATTTCACTTAAAATAATAGATAATGTCATACTTGCCATTGAATTTTACATTTCCTTCATTTTTTGTTTAAATAAAGTATGTACTTTTTTCTAGTTAGCAAGATGTTGACATTTGCCTTATAACAAAACTCTGTTTTTTTTTTCCATTTTTATGCATATATGGTGCACTGGTTAGTTCAATGTCAACTAGACCCAAGCAGGAGTCATCAGAGAGGAGGGAACTTCAACTGAGAAAATGTCTCCACAAAATCAGGCTATACGCAAGCCTGGAGGGCACTTTCTTAGAAGTTGATACATGGGAAGAGCCGAGTCCATTGTGTACTATCCCTGGGCTAGTGGTGCTGGGTTCTATAAGAAGGAAGCCTTAGCAAGCCCTGGGAAGCAATTCGTAGCAGCACCATGGCCTCTGCATCAGCTCCAGCCTCCAGGTTCCTGACCTGCTTGAGTTCTTGTCCTAACTTCCTTTTATAATGAAGTGATATGCAAATATAAGCCACATAAACCCCTTCCTCCCCAACTTGCTTTGGTCATGGTGTTTCAGCACAGCAATAGTAATCCAAACTAAGACATGTGGTTTGCCTGTGTGTATGAACGTTTGGTATACATGCATGTGTGCATGTATACATGGAGGCCTGAGGTGGGTGCCAGGAATCATAGTTGGTTGCTCTTTCACCTTATTCAGTAAGGAAGCATCTTTCATTGAAATCAGAGCTTACAGATTCATTTGCTAGTCAGTTTGCCCTGGGGGTCCCCTGTCTCTGCCTTCTGGGCTGGTCACCACAGCTACTTGACTTTAACATAGATTATAGGGATTCGAAATCTGGTCCTCAAGGTTTTGTTGTAAATGTTTTAACCATGGTGTCATCTTCCCAGCCCATAATTCCTTATTTTTAAACTTTATTTTGTAATGTAAAGCAGAATAAATGTTACTGTGCTCATGGAGTCTCTCCAGTTTAAATGTTCAGAATTTATGTCACTTTAGTTTAGAAATACAGCGATAGTGTTGACCCCACCAGAATCTGTTTCATCTTGGCCAGCTTGTAATCGCTGAGGACATTCTGTTTCATAGCTGTGAAAATCTGCCACTGTGAAGGAGACAGGTTGAGTAAAGACATGGTCCTCTGACATGTCTGTGTCACACATGATCCTCACTTTCAGGCCAGCCTTGACCAGCAAGACACCAAGGTCTCCAGGAAAGTCTGCTCATCTCTTATATATCCATCTGGAGATCTGATTTCTCATCTTTTGTATTTGTTTTTATTTTTATTTTAGGAGGCCGCCTGTGCTGCTCAGGGCTGGCCACTTGAGTAGGTGTGTGCCACTGGGCTTGGTTTGGACTTTGCCTTTTAAATTTTTCAGCAGCATTAGGGTCAATGGAACATTGACCTTTTGAACTTTTAGGCTCCTGAATTTCTTCAGTGTATCCCTCTTAGTATATTTGTTCAGATCCTCTTCTTTCATTGAGCTCTAGGCCATACCATACCATAGAGCTTAGTTCCTATGTAACCTCTTTATCAGTGTACAGTGACCACAGCCAATACAAGTTTAAAGCATCATTTAATATTGGTCATTCTTCAGAGTTATAGAGTGCTCAACCTTTAATCTTCTAGAAATAAAGAAGGCAAGGGAATGTAGCTCAGTTTCTAGAATGATTTCCTAGCATATTCAAAGCCCTGGTTTGATTCCTAATAACACACAAGCAAGGTGTGGTGATGTACGCCTTTCACTTCTGCACTTCAGTGATGGAGGAGTTCAGGGTCATCCCCAGCTACTTAGTGAGTAGAAACCAGTTTGGGGATACATGAGCTCTCATCTCAAACAACAATAACACAGTATAACAACAAGAACAACAAACAGCATCAGAAATAAAGGCCTATAAAGCTTAACATCCAAAGCAGAATCTTTGACTTCTGTGTGTTAGTCATCCAGTGTGCTGGTTCATAAAACCCTGGGATTATCTGTACTTTCTTTTCCATAGCCAACATCCAATTCACCATTAAATTCTGTGTGCTTCCATTTAAAGTAACAGTCCACTTCCCATCAGTTCTAGAAAATGGCACCCTCGTTGATACCTGACTGGACCAGCTGCTACTCTTTCCTTCTGAAGCTCTCCTCAAGTCTGTTCTCTCCACTCTAGACCAAGAGGCTTTTAATACAAAACAGACTTTGATATGGCCACTCCATTGAAAATGCTTTTTGGGCTCTCCCTGTACTTAAGCTAGAATACTCAAGCTCACAGGTATCCCACAATCCTTCAATCCCTGTGCAGGCTAAAGCTTAATTGATATCACTGAGTTGATATGGCATATTCATGATTATAAGGCTGTTATTTCTTTCTTAAAACAGTAAAAGTAAATGCCTACCGATAGTTTCTAGGTTTGTCCAAGACTCCATTTCATTCCCTCTTTTATTTTTGCACAGTGGTGTGGAGATCACAAAAAAAAATAAGCCAACTAATGAGAAGTAAAATACTTGTCAGGAGAACAGTCTTTCTTTCTTTCTTTTTTTTCTTTCTTTTTTTCTTTCTTTCTTTCTTTCTTTCTTTCTTTCTTTCTTTCTTTCTTTCTTTCTTTCTTTCTTTCTTTCTTCCTTCCTTTCTTTCTTTCTTTCTTTCATCACAGAGCAAAGTTTCAAAGGAATATGATTCTGGTAAAGTGTCATCAAACCATCTCTTTAGTAGGACACAGTGCCAGCAAAATAAAAGGCTTATTTTCAGTAATTCTGTTCATACCTCAAACCCCTGTGGTCTTCCGAGACTCTCCTTACTGTGTTTCCATGTAACGAGAATCTCTGAGACAGATACACTCGTAGCTTTGACATCAGTGGGGGCAGCAGTGGGTTCTGTAGGAAGAAAGGAGGAAGGGATGAGCCACAGTCCCTGTGTTATCTCTGTCAAGCACCGTTCCAGGGTCTCTTAGCTGTTCCTGTCTTCCTGACTTACTTTTGAATAATATGTTGTGAAGTAACAGAATTTTCCCAAGGTCCTGCCCTGAGAAGATCCCTCCCAGGGTCCTGGGGAAGATGCCACATCCAGCGCGGGGTTATCTGAGGGAAATGGACCTATGTACACCATGCTTTTTCATCTGTTTACTTTATTTTTCTAACACAAGATTCTATCTATACTGCTTCAGCTCCATCCTCATATTCAGCTCTTCTCTGTACCTACTGGGCCTGCCTGTCATAGTCCTGACTAAGCTCCTGTGCTTTCGACCTCATCTTCATCCTCTGTTCCTTCATCTTCCATCTTTCCTTCCTTGCTCCTTACCCCTGGCTCTGAGAAACTCTGCCTTCTTCTCTTCTCCCTGGCCACACAGCTCTGCCTGGGCCAGGAGTTCCACTCCAGTCTTTACTGCATCCTGTAATGCAAAAAGCCCTATTGTCCTGAGTCAATGGCTCTGTAGCACTCCTAGGCCTGAAGGCAGGGAGAATGGTCTGAGCTTCCTTTGCACAAGAAACAAAGCTAAGCATCTACAACCCACCTGTCTCCTAGGCACTTAAGAGTATTACCTGGATCAGCAGGAGGTCTGAGAAGCTAAATTGTTTGCCATATGGCCTAGTAGTATATGGGTACACAAGAATTTCATAGCAGAAGACAGCCGATATATATTAAAAGCTGAATAACACCAAATATTCCTTGATAAATGTCTTCCTCTAGAAAAAAATGCCTTGAGTTTTCTAGATATGGCTTTAATATACAGCTGAATCCCTATAATATATTCTTGTGACATGCTACAAAGAAATTGTGAAAAAACACTAAATAAGAAGGTGATCTATTTGTGTCTCTGGGTTGGATCAATTTGCATTAGAATCTTACCAATAACCAGTGACAATCTAGAATGATGAGGAGAGAAGGCCTCTATCGTTGAGTCAGGGAGGGCATTTCTCAGAAAAGTGAACAGTCCAACTTAACAGTCCAGTCTGGCAGTCCATCCAGTCTAGCAACAAAGACTGTCAGCTGGGATTGGTGGGTTTGTTTGTTTGTTTATTATCTATGTATCTATGCATCTATCTATGTATCTATCTATGTATCTATGTATCTATCTATCTATTTGCTTCAGGGGCTAAGTTATGGAAGCAACCTAGTTCCAACCACAGAGGGATGGATGTTTTTGTGAACGAACACTGTTAACTACAGTACTAAAAATGCTAGATGCATTATTCCCATTAAGACTAAATCCTAAAGTATATGATATGCTTTTTTGCTTGTTAATTTTGTATTTTCAGCCAGGCTCTTGCTGTAAAACCTTGGCTGGTCTTGTGTTCACTATGTAGAACAGGCTGGCTTTTAACTGTTACTCTCCTGTCTCACCCTTGGAGTACAGGAATCACAGGTGTTTATCACTATTCCTAGCTTTTATGATGTTTTTCTTACTCCTGTACTACAGATGAAAGAATTTAGGATTCAAAGGTTGCATAATTTGTCAAAAAGTGGCTAAATACCTAGAGGGGTTTTTTGTTAAATATTTAACTCCAACATAGAAACACATTTAACAAACATATGGTAATACTATATTTATCTTGTGTAATCAAAGAGGGAGTCTAAATTTCATTAAATGTTTTTGCCACAAAACTCCATTTCTGTGATCATGGGAGAAATGTGTTATGTACTCTGATATTTAAAAGGTATTTATTGACTTTTATGACAGGTACAGACAGAGTAGAACAGTCCCTGAAGGTCTCAGTGCTGCTGTTAAAAAACACCTCTCCATTTGTTTCTATGCTCAGTGACCTTTCACACTATTTTTTCTAATACACAGTGTCTGACTGACATCCATCAAGAAGTGCATTTTCTTTGACATCACATGATATACGAGCAAGGAAATATTTCTAGCTTTGACATGGCTGAATCATAAATACTATCACAAACACGTATTATCTGAAATGGTAGAATAAAGGTCACAGATTAGGTCGAACAGCTCTGTACAGATTATATATATTAAAATCCTATGCTATAAAAATTGTAGACCTTTGTACTAACTTCAAATTAATTCTCCCCTCCCCTGGATTCAGGAAACCATACAACAAAGATACAATTGTAAAGAACACCTTCAAAAGGCATTATGAGGGACCAAGAATGATATTTTTCTGAAATCTATTCTTAGCTATGAGAAAACAGTTACACATCTACTAATGCTTTTGAATATTACTGACTTAAAGATACTAGTCCAGTGTGTAGGGTGGCACTATAAGTGTGTAATCCAGCAATGGAGAGGTAGAGACGGGAGGATCAGAGTTCCAGGTTGGACACAGGGTGTTTCCTGGCTAGCTTGTGATATTGGAGATCCATCTCAAAGTAATGAATGAATAAATAAATAAATAAAACTACCCCCAAAACATCTATTCATTGCTGTAAAATAAGTGTACAAAAGACTTTTCAAAACATTTATATTTGTACTAAGCAACGGTTTTCTTTTGATGAGTTTCACATTAAAATTTACATGCTGGAACTGGAGAGAGAGATAGTCCTTTGATAGGGGACTTGTGTTCCGTTCTCAGCACCCATGCCAGACGACTCACAGTTCCCTATCACTCTAGCTCCTATCACTCTAGGAAATTCGAGAGCCTTTTCTGGATTCCTTGTGTACTGCTCTCATATGCACAAACTCATACCCAGACACAGATACACAGACACAGGCACAGACACACACAAACACACACACACACACACACACACACACACACAAACACACACACACACTCAGATACACAGACTCACACATTGTTACAGACACACACAGAGACACACAGACAACAATTAAAAATGCAAACACACCCATAATTAAAAATAAATCTTAAAAAACACCCCACATGCAATAATTGAGCCAAAATTCATTTGCTTTTAATGCCCAGGTTGTCACTGATCGTCGTACTGTATCAGTTGTACCTGTTCATTTTGAGATCCAGTAATTGCACATTCTGAGATCCAGTAACTCTTTCCTATTCTTTTCCCAGCACTGTCCCTCACACTACTTTACAGTCTCTTCAATCTGTTGTTTTTGTCTTGAAAGAGAAGAGCTTCTATTTCATTCTAGAATTATGATAGCAGACATGTAGTGACTTTTTAAATTGTTTAACAGGACTTTAAAATCTCGATTTTGTAGTTAAAGGGGATGCTGGCATGTGTTTTGAGGCACGCGTGCCTGGATAGCTCAGGTTTGGGGAAGATTCATTTCAAAGGGAGCCACACCATTTTCGTTCTGTTACTTGCCGCTTCCCTCTAGAATGAACGCAGCTCAGAGATTCGCTTGCCAAATGCTTTCCATGCGCGTTTTATATTACTGAGGCAATTACATCTTTGTCAGAGATGATTGCAGGGGGATAAATAATTTCAGAAGCACAAAAACACACGGCTAGGTGGCAGCCTTTCTATCCTTTTTTTATCTCCAGAGAGAACTTATTTCCCTGTTAGCTTTCAGGAGCACCAGACACATGTAAATATGTCTCAAACTGAAATTTAAATAAAAAAAAAAAGAACATTCTAAAAGAACACGAGAGATGGTTAGGAACTCCTTCCCAAACAAGCACTTGACTTTCCACAGAAAAGCTTGAAGGATTTTAAATTCAGGTCAGAGTGATCCTGATGTGTCACCGCTGATTCCCTGGGGGTGTGAGTTACAGTTGCATCACCTGAATGAGTGTGGACAAACTGCCTCAAGACAGTTCACCTTCTAGATCAAAACAGCATCGAAAGTCCACCCTTGCTGACCTGAGCTGGAATTTCAGCATGGGAAAAAGCGTGGTCTTGGCCTGGTTATTCCAACACTCTGCTGTGTACTTTTTTTAATTACATATTTTTATTTATTAAAAAATATTCATTTTACATATCAACCACAGATCCCCCTCTCATCCCTCCTTCTGCTACCCTCAGCCTCTCCCCTCCAACTCACCTTCCCATCACCTCCTCTGAAAAGATAAGGCCTCCAATGAGGAGTCAGCAAAGCCTGGTACATTCAGTTGAGGCAGGACTAAGCCTCTTCCCCCTGTATCAAGGCTGAGCAAGGCACCCAACCATAAGTAATGGGCTCCAGAAGGCCAGCTCATGCACCAGGGACAGATCCTGGTCCCACTGCCAGGGGCTAGGGCACTATGCACTGTTTATAGTTGAACTGACAAAGTGTGTGTCTGCAGACAAGAATAACTGGCCAGATGACAGAATCTTTGGCTGGGATCTCCTGTTCTGTCTGCAAGTCCACGGCAGCCACATGAGGGAGAGACACCATGACAGACTTTAAGAAAGTTGCTTGGATCAGAAGTCAGGAGCACATGGCCAATGGGCTTTGAGGGTTCAAGCAAATCAGTTTAAGCCAATGTGTCAATCTAATATATCCTACAAAATTAAAATTTTCTAGATTTTTTTGGGGAAAGGCTGCTTCATTCTAATGGTGCTTCTGAAAGTGCCCCTCTCCCAATCTGCTCATGGGGGACAGTCTTAAACATTCTTTACTGATTTTAAACTTGGCAACAAAGAATCAGCTCTCAGTTTCTTTTCTTTGTCTCATAAATATGTATGTGGGTGCACATCTTTATATGTGAAGAACTGATGTTGGTATCAGGAATTTGCCTCTATAAGTTTTTAAACTTACTCTTTCAGGCAGTCTTTCAATAAAACCCAGAGCTTGCCCTGACAGCCATCTTGCTGCAGAGATGCTCTGCCTCCCCCTTTGGTGCCTGGCATTTGTGTGGGTTCTGGAGGTTTGAACTCTGGTCCTCCCTTCTGGCCACAAGTGTTTCAACCTCTGAACCATCCCCTGCCCATTACTCTCAGTTTCTAAAGAGTCAAGTTTTGGGGTAGAGAAAGGAATTTAAAGGAATCCAATTTAACTTATTCTTTTACTATTCAA